GAGAATATTTGTGTTTTCAGGATTTTGATGTGGCTTTGATATTTCATAAGAGGGCAAGGGAAGGTGCCAATTGAGAATTGTGGATGCACTGAGCAGCTGGCCTCTCTCTTTCTCTGTTAGAAAGCATAAATATGAATCTGTTACAGTTGCTTTTTAGAGCAAAGCAGGATTGCATTTTAGTTCATCTGGTACTGCTTCTTGATGCTGGCTGCTGCACTGCCAGCAAGTGTTGGTGCTTGATGGTGATTGCTGTTCTACACCAGAGAGTTTGGTGGTCACAGGACTGATCTCCAGATCTCCATTTCCTTCATGCCCAGTGCTCAAAGCAGAGCACTGGAGACCCTGTGCTAAGCAGTACTGGGCTTTGCCCTTCAGGAACACTTCCTGCTGTACACCTAGAAAAAAGAAAGTAAAGCAGCCAGACAGGATACTTCCTTTTGAGTCCTACAAAGCTGTGCTGTTTTAGGTAATGCTGAGTCACCCTGTGAATCTGAGTCTGGCCTTTGAAAAGAACCCGCAGCTTGGATTTCCCTAAGCAAAATTCTCATTTTGCTGGGAAAAGTTGCTGGTTTTAAAGGCTATTTCATGTCTTTACTTCTCTGACCGTTGCTAGCAGAATGCCAGATCTCTGATACAGAGGATTTCTGAATTTATCACTTCTTCACTGTTATCTCACTTGTCAAACTATATCAATTCAAAGGTTACTACAAATAGTTCTGCTTACAAATATATCCATGATACGAGAGGAATATGATAATTTATTTGTTAATAGCTTCTTGACTCCTAGGATCCTAAGGTGCTTTTAAAACTCCTGATATCTTTGTTCCTTGTTGGCTTTATTCAAATGTAGGGAGAACTGAGGCTCAATGGGTGGAATCTGCCTCGGATTGGACATGCTGCAGTAGCTGGTCAGGTGCCTGTGGTCCTAGTGTATGAAAACTGCACAGCACTTGCAGATCTAGCTATTTTTTGGAAGAGACCTCGTTTCTGAGCAATGGTGTTTAAGTGTCCAAATATGCACAGTGCCTGGGTACATGGTTGGGCTGACATCCCATCGTCCTGTCATTGTAGACCCGTGAGTAAGCCAAGACTGGAACCCCAGTTCCAGGCCAGAGCCCCTCCTCTGAAATCCACCCTACACGGTGTTTTGTGGGCTTCATACAAAGCATTCCCTCTTTTTACCCTAGCTTGTGCTGTCTTGAAATGGTTCATATCCTTATGCAGGGTAAGGACTTCTCAGGTCAAGGTCAAACCAAGGAGCCCAGCCATGGTTGCTTCTTCATCTTTTAAATGCCACATCCATGCCGACTGCCCAGTGTGGTTTGCCTCCAGACACCAGCTGACAGATCATACCATCTCTGATCCACCCTGAGATCTGGGAGCTGTGGTGGGGTCCTGACTCCTACCCTGGTAAATCTGCTCCATTAATAGCTATCAAAGAGCCTGAAATTTCCATCTGAACTTTATCTGGCTTTGCAGTGAGCTGGAGGATTAAAGAGGGTGGCAGGGGAAGGGAGGGAGCAGCCGTGGCTCGCCTGGAATAGCCTGACCTATGACGGCACCTACCAGCCTGGGGAGGGGAGTTGTCCTCTGAGCTCACGGGTTATTAGCAGTGAACACAGACATGCCTGCAGTCACCAGCACACCCAGGGCATCTGCTCCATCCCTGGCTGCTTCAGGGGGTCCAGAGGAATCTGTTAGAACAGCGCTTTGTCTGGGGAGCTGGGAGCGGGTGCGAGGGCCAGCTTTGTGGAGCCAGCATTTTATGCTGCTCAAATGCCTTTAGGGTTTGATGTCTAGGCTGTTTGTATGGGGCAGATCTCTTTTTGAGGTGGGATTACGAGAAGGCAACCCCTGCCCTGCTTCAGCCCAGGACTCCCTTCTCTCCACCGTGACATAACGAGTAATAAAGAGATCAGAGTGGGTTGTCTCTCTGGGACTCACCTAGAGGGCCAGCAGTCATGGGGCACAAGCCTTCATCTGCCAGATGGGTGAAGAGCATAGGAACCAAGTGCAGGTTTTTGGTGTAGCCAGAGAGTCGCTTCTCAAAGCCTCTCTCTTGTGGTTTTGTTTTCTGTGCCTTGTTTCTCTACTGTTGTCCCCAGCTCCTCTGGTTCACCTGCCCCATGTCAGCACTGTGGAAAACTGCAGGGTTTCTTATTACCTCCCACCTCCTAATTCAGAGCTAATTCTTAGTTGAGCATCACTGTTGCAGCAGACTGGGGCCCTTTCCAGTGCCCAGTGTTTTGCAAGGCTTGTGCAGAGCAGCTCAGCATGGTGGAACAAGATCTTCCCTGTCGGCTGGATGACCCCAGACTCAGTGTGCTTGTCCCCAGGGAGCAGTGGAGCTGCAGATGAGCCGCTCGGATGTGTGGGAAGCAGGCGCGGGGCCACTGCACTGAATGGTCTGTGGATGCTGCTCAGTGTTTTACACCAGGAAGCACTGGGGCCAGTCTAAACCTTTGACCCTGGCAACATGCTCCAGATTCCTTCCAGTGAAACATCTCCTTCCCTCCCCTCCAGGCCTGAAAGCATTGTGACAGATGCATTGCCCCATAAAAAGCTCCTTTATATCCCCAATAACTTAATTGATCTGCACATTGAGAACATTGTTCTGCTTTGGAATTTGCATCTTGTGTACTTTAATGTTTTCCGTGATGGGTGCTACTGGTGTGATCACTCTTTGTTGATCTAGGAAGTCACCCAGCATAGGTCTGGTAGTCTAGGGGAGTACAGCTGAACATGGGGCCTTCGAACGGCATCCTTTCTGGAAGAGGTTCACCATACCACCTGATGAGAAAGATGAGGCTGTACCACGTCCTTCTCTCCTGGTGGCATGGCAGAGGAATATGTAGCCTCAGCAGCAGTGTTGCTGCCATGTGCTCTTCCCTTCCCTAGAGCAAAGGAGGCACCAGTGGCTGGTGTACAGGACTCTTACTTGTCCAGAGTCTGCCTGTCAAGCCTCTTACGTGCCAAATGTTTGAGAGGAAGAAGGGAATATTTGTGCTGTCTGTGTCCTCCTGTGATGAGAGGTTTACCAAGCACGTTAGATGCTTGTAGCTGCAGAGTTTGTTGCTCTTGCTTGAGCTGTAGAAAGCTGTGCTTGTAACTCTGGAGGTTTTAGGTTCAGCCTTTGGTCACAAAGAAGGCAGTCTTCATCCGTAGGTGTCCTTTCCCCTCCTTTTGTAGACATTTCAATACCTCAGCAATTCCTGGAGGTGAAGAGAGACTGTTGAATAGAGGGAGAGTGAGAAGTGGAGCTTCCCTCCCAGGCATTCAATCTCAGCCTAAATAAGGGGACTTACAAGCCGGGTGCTGAGTGACTGCACTGATCTATCATGTCAAACACGAGAGTCAGTTATTGTGGTCAGGAGTGGGCTGGGAATATCTGTGCTTATATGGGGGAGAGGGGAACTGAGGTTAGCCAAGCAGATCTAACACAAATGTTCTCTGCCTTAGCAATGTGAAAGGATGAGAGGTGGCCAATAGGTGCATTGGCAGTTGGACTAGATGATTGTTGTAGGTCCTTTCCAGCTGAAAATACTCTATTCTGGATCCTGTTGCATGGACCCTTTCAATGCCATTTTTAGGACCAAGTATGAAAGTCTTATTCCTGCCCTGCAGGGGAAAATCCTCTTAATATTCTCTGAGAAGATCTGTGGGTAGCAAAGGGAGCTGGAGGAAGGTGGTGAGGGTGTTAGGCTGGTGTAGGACTGTCATGGCTACCTGGCAGTCCCTCAGAGTGGCTGGTCTGGAAACACTTTGTAGTGGCCTTCCTGTAGACCTAATGGCATGCACCTGCTTCTCCATCTAGATCCTCTTCTTCTCAAGCAGAACTGAACAGGAAGACTGAGATCTGTGGCTAAAGGACTGCTGTGTTCAGGAGAGCAAGAGAGACTTCAGCTTTCCTGTGCCAGCCAGGGCTCCCTTGCTTTTTGAGGTGTAGCCTGCCCCTGGCTCCCCAGAACATCCTGTGACTGAGGACTGGGTGGGCTTTTTTTTTGCTTGCATAGGTGTGTTTTTTTGGTTTTTTTTTTTTTTTGGCATGGTCAGGTTTTATTTTCAATTAACAAAGATGTTGTAAGCAAGCTTAACCAGCTATAGTTTACATCCTTGTCTCCAGGCTGCTGGAGTTGCTTGGGGTATGACAAACAGCTGCTGCCCTCCTCCACAGCTGCAGTTTGCCCAACCTTCTTGTGATGGACCTGCCTTCCTGCCCAGAAAATTAAATGCATTGTTCAAAGCCTGGGAGCCATCCACTTAGCTTCCTGGAGAGACCATTAAGAGAGAAGGCTGATAAGAGAAGTGGTCTGATAAAGGTTTTTAACAGGGGAGCTGTGCTGTGCAGGGAGTGGTGAGAGGAACGAGACTGGCTTTAACACTCTCAGACGTGACACTTACACCAATATCATGTAGATTCATGGTGTAAGGTCCTCAGTTTCTCTCTGCTAGCTCCTGCCAAGCAGGAGAATAGTACATAGTGAGAAAAGGTGGAGAGACTGTGGGACTTTCACTGCTCCAGCCACCTTCTCTCTATAAGGAGGACTTCACATGGCTTTCTGTGGTCAAAGACAGTCCAGCTTTTCTGGAAGGAAAAAACCTCACCCTGTCTGGACCAGAGACTAGTGTTAAATCAGAATAAGCATAACCATGCAACAGAAGGCATATTAGGGATGTGGTTTTTTCTTGTTGGTCCAGGAGGTAAACATCTGGGTTGCCATTGCCTTGTCTGCAAAAATCGCTAGACCCGTGAAGGACAAACGTCAGTTGTGCTCCTTGATGCAGCAAAGTGCAGGAGGTCTGAGTTCAGCCCAATCAGTCTGCAAGTTGTGTTTCAAACTGTGACTGTGTGGAGAAACATCCCAGAAATTCACAGTGCAAGAATGAAGGAGGCTTTTTCACTTTCCTTCGTTCAGCCTTGTGAGCAAAAACTTTCAAGTGTTTCTTTGTCTGTGCTTTGTTCTGTCTGTGTTTGAAGTCTCCTATTATTCTCTCTGCAGGTCCTTCAGAAGCTTGGGAAAGCAGATGAAACAAAAGATGAGCAGTTTGAACAGTGCGTGCAGAACTTCAACAAACAGCTGGTAAGATAATTGGTGATATGTAATTACACTCTGAGTTTCAGTGTTAGCTCCAGTCATCTGCTGCAATATGCAATTAAAGCCCATTAAATTATGCCATAGGCCTGTTGAAGTAACCCACAGCTCATAGCCATGCACTTATGAGAAACTACACTGTGTCTTCCAGTGTCTCTCTTGTGGAGTCAGTGAGAGTATATGCTGAAAAATAATGCTGATTCTAGACCCAAATGCTGAAAAATAATGCTGATTCTAGACCCAAAT